CTCTGGCTCTCTTTCACAAGAACTACCAAAAGAACACAATATTGGCTTCAATTCATTACTTTAATCATACAGTTATAAGACAAAATTGAGCCTTGCCAATTTAGGAGAACTGTCTAACATGAACTAGGGTCTGCTTAATGCAAGTTGTATGAAAATTCTCTTACCAATATATAATGCCATTCACTTGTACATACTTATGAAAAGTGCCGAGGAAGGTAATATCACATTCAATTGAAAGGCAGTACTTTTTTTTTCATTGGAGTAAACTGAAAATACAAATTCTTATAGTTAAATGCACACAAAAAATATTAAAACAAAATCAATAGGCCACTTTTAGTCTGGACTTTCTAAAACAGAAAATGAAAACTATGTATTAATCAATGTTGCTGGTTAATCATCACAGTTAACTCAAGCAAAGTTAAATACAGAATAAAAAGGGTAGGGAAAATAAACAAAAAGATATAAAGAAACATTGTAAAAACAGGCAAAGGATTAAAATTCTTAGTTAACAATGTGGTTATTATCACAAAAGTTATTGCAGCTACAAGGTATGTCAAATGATAGGCTCCCTTAACTCCATACTGAAGTTATCACTAACTTGTCTGACAAAGACAATGAACAACCAATATGAAATTGACAATTTATGTAGATCCTGTATTAAGTGTTCAGCAGCATCAATTGAACCATGAAGTTTTACCTTTAGATCAATGTATATGTTAAGGTAGGGAGAGGAGGAATGTACAAGACTAACTTTGTTCACTAATTCTATTTACTAATTACATATATGTATGTCCAGAATATGAATATATATATATATATATATATATATATATATATATATATATATATATATATATATATATATATATATATATATATATATATATGTATATATATGTATATATATGTATATATATGTATATATATGTATATATATGTATATATATATATATATATATATATATATATATATATATATATATATATATATATATATATATATATGTATAGATATATCAGACTTTATCAAAAATTCTAGTTATCTGTTACAATTCCTGATATTGTAGAGGTGGGTTGGGGATATGTTTCCTTTGAGTAGTCTAAATTGAAAAGTAATGCATTACATAAATGTGGATAGTCACATGTTTCTGTATTCTTGAAAAAAAAAAAGTGGGCACAAGTAATATCCAGAAGAGAACCATAATATATATACTGTATTCCAGTATATCTAGAACAAACTTTGAAAGTTATAAATATAAATATATATATATATATATATATATATATATATATATATATATATATATATATATATATATATATATGAGAAAAAAAAGAGAAACTGAGTCACGAAGTTATGAATATAAATAACTCAAAAGTATAAAATCACAGCAACTGAAACAATAAAGCTTAACTATTTGGTTAGTAGCATGTGTCATGATGAATTACACTGAGGATAAAAGCTAACCACTGCATTTACATTGTCTACTCTAGACAGCACTCGCACACTTGAAGGAATTGCTTGAATGCAATGCCCATGTACTGTTTCATTTATTCAACAGCTTCTTCCTACATTTACATTTGGCCCATGTCTATACTTCTGTAGGTGTATAGCTGTTTCATGGACAACACTCTTATCAAAATCACAAGTACTGCACTATCACATGAAACGCCCCATCAACAGAGATGTGTTCTCTGATGTGATTTAATAGTCTTTATTTACTAAAATGAATTAATTCCTGTCTGTCTTTATCACTAGTCTATGGTATTACTATATCTTATGCCTGTGATAGAAACTCAATAGTCAATTAATAAGAAATAAAATGCAATTGAGTCCAACTGATGAAAAGAAAGAGAGAGACAATTATCCTACAGAGTAAAATCAAACATTCAACATATGATTTTTGTTTACAACTGACATTTAACATTTATGGGGTAAATGGCAGTTGAGAGAAATTGCCTAAAATACTGATAGTATGAATCATAAATGTGACAGAAAAAATAGAGATTTAGAGAAGATATTACTTGTAGATTTTTAGTCATATATATATTTTTTTCTTTTGAGCAGAGAAAACATGATTGTTATCACCATCATGGAAAATTGTCATAACAAGAATTAGGAAAAGTTCATGACAGAACCTTCTATGCTACATTTTCTTATACATCTAACATTACATCTAACATCTTTGATAATATAATTTACTAACTACTTCACTCTGTGTTTAGAAGGAAAAGCAAGAAACATACCTTCACAAAGGTATTACCACAAAAAAGAAACAGAAAAAAGAAACGCCTAAACACTCCTCTCAAATCTAGTCGAGTATTTCTGAGCATAATAAAATAAGTTCTTGATTTGTTTCCTTCAATGCACATCTACAAAATGCACATCTATATTATCTACAAAATTGTCTACAGGAAACAGTAATGAAAATCATCTTATTTTCTTATCTCCTTATTATGAAGTGTGAGCATTACTGTAAGACGAGGTTTACTTGTACTT